TTTTTAGGGTTCTGATGGTGGGGTGAAGTTGTACTGGGGTATTGCTGCTGATGGATCTGTGGTGATCTCTGATGATTTAGAAGTGATTAAAGAAGGTTGTGCCAAGTCTTTTGCCCCTTTCCCTGCAGGTAATAATAAAATCAACATAAATGCTTGTGTGAGTATCTAAACAAAAATATATAGTTATACAATTATACTTTCAAATGTCATGCTTTCATTTATATTGTTCTTATAAAAAGTATGGTATTCTTTTAATTGAGAATAAGATGACTGCCTACTGTCTGTAAAATTGATTCATGCTCATAAATAGAATTTGAAATTGTGAATTTAAATAGTGACATGGGATTAGGACTTATATGAATTTTTGTGGACAGGGTGCATTTTTCACAGTGAGTCTGGACTCATGAGCTTTGAGCACCCAATGAATAAGCTGAGGCCAATGCCAAGGGTGGATAGTGAAGGGGTAATGTGTGGAGCCAACTTTAAGGTTGACTTGTACTCGAGGGTCAACAGCATCCCGCGTGTCGGGAGTGAGGCCAACTGGGTTGACTGGAATTCGCACGAGCCATAATAAGCTCTAGATGTTGTGGACCTTTCGACTTGTGGTCCATCAATGGAATAACCAAAATAAAGAAAAAAAAAAGAAGAAATTTCCTTTGACATTCACATTTTGTTGTTGTCGTTTTTGTTTGCTGTTGTGTTTTGTGTTGTTTGTGGCCAAAATCAAGGCACTTGTGTAAATGAGGGTAGCCATAGAACAAGAAGAGGACCTTTTGTGTACTCTTTGAATAATCTCAATCATGTTCTTTTTCTTTTAAACTGTATGTAAACTAAAATCAAATGGACCGAGTGGTTTTGAATTATATTTATTGCTTCAAACAGAAAATTACTCAATCCAAAAAAAGTCATCTGAAAAACAAAAGGGGCCAAATCCAAATCTATTCAGACAAACCAACCAGTTTCTCACTAATCTCCCAAAGCTTTCGCGCCTTATCGGCATCACTCGCCTCTTGAGACAACTGGTTTTCGAACGAGGCCGAGGCATTGTTCCAACTCCAATACACGCCCGATTTCGTGAGGCTCGGATCACTCACGACCTGCGCAAGCCTTTTCCCGGCCTCATCCTCCGAGACGAACCCTTTCGTAATGTACTTCTGAAAAGGAGGGAAAAGCAGCCTGAAAAGGGGAATGTGCTCTCGGAAAAGGCCAGTGGTGGCAATGCAGCCAGGGTAGAGTGAGGCAAATGTGATGCCCGTGTCCTCATGGTAACGACGGTGGAACTCCTGCATCGTCAGCATGTTGCACACCTTGCTGTCCTTGTAGGCCTTTGCCCCGTCGAAATCTCCACCGTCGATCATAGATGATGACGTTTTGGGCCCGTTGAGCCCGGCCTGGAGGCCCCTCAGGTCCCCCAAGTTGGCCTTCGGGGGCACGTTCCCGGCCAATGTGTTGGTGTTTCCTGTAAATATGTGCAGAATAAGTCTCACTGTTTGATAAATCAAATGGAATACATCGTACTCGAGTTAAGAGTACGTCTGTTGTTATTTGAAGGTTCAATCAATCAATTTACTTGGTTAGCATAAAACGCCAGTTCAATACATGCAGAGTGGACTAGTACAATTTGAAGTAATTTATCTTAAGTAATAAATATATACTACAATTGTACGATAGTTTTTGTCCATTTCTATTTCACAAGGAACCGATAGCATGTGTGTACTTTAGCCAATCCCGTTATCATATCCGGGGTTAAGAGTACTGGTTATATCTGAGGTTTAGACTATTACTTGATGAATATAAAATGAACTTATCAATCTCTGTTGGTCTTTGGTCCAGTTCAATTCAGACTATTTACTTGATGAATATAAAATGAACTTATCATCTCTGTTGGTCTTTGGTCCAGTTCAATTCACACAAAGTGGATCTGTATAATATGAGTTAGTTTATCTTAACTAATAAATTATACTGCAACCATACGATAGTTTTGGTCCATTTCTAACTCACAAGAAACTGATAATATGTGTGTACTTTAGCCAAATATATATATTTGTATGAATTAAGTCGGCCGAAAAGATTTCTATAATCGAGCCCAAGATACGTACCGGTGATCGAGCCCACGATTATAAGCCTCTTAGATGGGTAATCTGACTCCTTCATATCGTCGAGCAACAACCTCGATAAAAGGAAATGGCCCAAATGGTTGGTCCCGACACTAAGCTCGAACCCGTCCGCCGTGAAGGACGGTTCGCGGGCCGTCGGCTGGTAGACGGCTGCATTGCAGACGAGGACGTCTAACAGCCGGCCTGACCTCTTGAAATTGTCGACAAATTGCCTCACGCTGTCGAGCGAGGCCAAGTCCAAATGCATGACGGTGTAATTCTCCTTGTCCATGCCCACGGACTTGGCGGCCTTTTGGGCCTTGAGAAAGTCTCGACAGGCCATGATGACGTGCCACTTGCCGCTCTCGGCTAGGGCCTTGGCCGTGGCCAGGCCCAGGCCCGATGAGGCGCCCGTGATTATTACGGTGCCCTTTCGTAAGGTTTTCTTGCCTTGGAAGGACGTGGGGGTGATCGTTGGTGACGTGGCAACGGCTAGAGTACGAACGGAAGGTAGCTTCCTTGTGCAGAATTTGATCTGGGCGCGTGATTTTTTTGTTAGACAAGCAAATTGGTGAATGTTGATCGTAGTTACTAGTTTGGTAAATTTTGTAGGATTAATTTATTTTGGTAAATAAAAGAGAAGCTTTGTAGCCTAATTACAAGTAATTAGATATGATTAAAATAATCCTCAAGCTATGGGAGCTAGCAAATTTTGGTCTATTGTGATTTGCATCGTGCAACATGGCAACTCTGGTTAACAAAGTTCAAGTTTTTTACAGGTTTAGTTATAGAAGTTTCTGATTGAATCTTTGTTTTAAACTTTTTATTCTAAGAACACCACAAAATACAGAAAATAACTTCAATAAACTACTAGTGACATATTTTTTCAATTGAAAACNTCAATATTCGTTTCCCCCAATGACCCAATCATACCAACACACAATTAAGTAATAAAAACAAATCATAATTATAATTTCTTCAATAGAATTCACCATTTACACACTAAAATATTTAACTACTAATTATTTACATTTATTGTTTTACTATTTTTCTATCTTATCCACTTTGATCATTATATTTTATTTCATATTCATTCACAATTTTATATATTTTTATTCTTCCATGAAAAAAAAAAAATAAAACTCTTTAGCTCTTTCCATCCAGATAATTTTTCCACAATAATCTGTATGCAAACATTAAAACCACACTATTGCAAGACATAAGTAGTCTCAAATTGCAATTCAGCCACATTATAACAACTCCTCTGAAGTATTACAAACTCAACCTTAAATTTTCAAACAAGAAACATATAAAACTTTGGAAGACAATTGAGTTACTTTTTGGCAATAATTGGGCTAAACTTACGCATATTTCATTATTAACTCTAAAAGTTACCTTGCTGTAATCAGCTTTGACATTGTCCGAGAGTGAAATTCCAAAGAGGTTTGACTCCTTCAGAGATGCACCACATTTTGCCTGCAGAGATTAAAAATAAAATTAAAAAATAAAATAAATTTATCAAAGAATTCAAAGGAAAGAAAAATAACATCTAATCTTATTCATTCAAAAATAATGAAATAAATAAAAGACTTTAAAAAATTCTAACCTCCTTGTGTAGGGAGAATTTAGAAGGGAGCAAAGCAGCAGCCTGTAGAGCCATAGAAAGGATTTTCCAGTTTTTTCAGAGGAAAATAAGCTGACAATTTAGTAGATATTATTAGATTTTTAATTTTTGTACTTTCTTTGTGATAGGTGTGTGCAAATTTATAGTGTGTGAGTGATTTGAAAAAAAATATTAAATAATAACTAAATTGACAGGTTGGATATGCAAAGCTAGGATAAGATAACATTATGTGTAGGTATGTGCCACCTGGACTTTAAACACCAATGAAATTGAGTGGTTCAGATTTCCTCTGATAGTTTGGAGTAATAATATCAGCCAAATGAATTATGCATGAGTTTTCATAAGTTAGTTGATGATTTATGATTGAAAAATTAGCTGATATGATAAAAATGTTTGTTAAAATTAGCTGATAAGTCAGCTGAAATAAAAATTTCAACGGGCTTATTTAAAAAGCTACTTAAAGAAACTTATGAGATAAACTCGAACTCGTCTTACAAATCCAAGATTATTTGTATACACAAAGCTTTTAACCTAATCAAATAAACCATAAGCCAATTAATGGTGTTTACCAAATACACTTACATGTGAGTAGACCGTCAGATACTAAAATTGTAATTAATTAAAAATAATGAATTAAGTGCAAATTAGGAACAAACAAATCCAAGAAAATGAAAGCATGCTTGCTATTGCCAGCTACAACCATATATAAACTTAAACTAGAAACTTCACTGCAACACAAAGGCTCAAACATTATTTTCAGAATGACATTGAAAACAAAATGTCACTACTATTAAAAACCTTGTTTGCTTATACATATAAAGGAATTTTGATAAAAGATGAGAAAAAAGGAAAAAAACACAATGTGATCACTTGTATGCAGTCATGCCAACTCCAGCTTCACCTCCATAAAGAACAGAGTTTCCCCTGGCTTTTGCATAGCTCAAGTAAAAAAATTCGGAGACTATGGCCGTGAAGAAAACGAACGAAGCCCCGGCTGCAAATACTCCCTTCCGAACCGTCTCACAAGAAGGCGGGCTCTCGAAAAACCTCGTTCGGTACTTTGTGTGATATGCATTCCTAACCGAACCAGCTAGCAAGCAAACTTCCGCAATGAAAAACGTTACCCTGCATCAAACATTACTCATTTTTCGAGTCCTTTTAAGGTTTCGGATTCTTGATTCGGTTGTGCGAAAATTCTTTTACAACTGTTTTTATGTTTGAATATCCGTTTTTAAGGAATCGGATAGGTTATTTCATTAGAAAAGATAGAAATTGCGGAAAAATTAGAGTTTTTGTGCTATAAGTGGCACCAAATTGAGAAATAGTCCGCTAGTTGCGTTGATGTTACAAAACACCTTGTAACTGCAAAAAGAAAAAAGAAAACTGACTTTTGGTCCTTCTACCAGTAAAAGTCGGTCAATTTGACTGGCTGCTGTGTTGGATATGTTAGTCGGCTACCAAAAAAAACTAAAAACAATAGCCACGTCAGCAACCGGTCACAGGGACTGACTTTTGTCGATGGAAGAACCAAAAGTCAGGTTTTTTTTTTTTTTTTTCTTTTTGTTTTTTCAGTTACAAGGTGTTTTATAAAGTCAACGTGATCACCGAACTATTTTTCAATTAGATGTGAATTACAAGACTAAATCTCTAATTTTTCTAAGAAATTGCATATGACATTTAGCCCTAATTTTGTGCATATATATGCACAAAACTACATGTAAAAAATTTCTAACTGCAATTGTAAACATGCAAATTAAGTACAAGAAGAAGTTATTTGTTTAACTATGATTCTTGTTCATGAAGTCAAATTTGGTAAGGAAAAAGAAACTGAGGGTTCACCAGCAAATGATGAAAAGAAGAACAGCACAAGCTCTTGAGCTCCCAGGCTTTAATGGGTTCCCACAGCAAAAACATTTGCTTGCAACCATTACTAGAAGCTGACTTGCCATTAAAAACAAAAATGCACCAACACCATAGCCAGTTGAAATATCAGAGTCATAAACACAGTAATTGTAGTTATCCTCTGTATCTACAGTTGAAATGCCCTGCAAAAAAATTGAAATCACATTCAAAATGTAAAATTAAAAATAACAAAAAATCAATAATATACCAACAAATAAATCAAAAAACTGCACATTTACTTTAAAGGGGAAAAAAAAGAGAGAAAAACTTACTGTGCTTCTTCTTTGCTCTGCAGCAACAGCCAAAGCAAAAGCAATAAGATCAAAAACAAAGACTGTTATCATCACAAGTTTAGAAGCCATTTTTATAGCTAAGTATTGATCACTACTTATCTTCACCCTCTTCCTTTAATTTTCTGCCCAAATATATAAGTATTACACAAATTTATAGGCATTATAAAATCCAGTTGATTGAGTAATTAATAAGTATAGAGCAATTACAACTGAAAAAACTTAAAAAAAGATATACAAAAAAGTTGAAGAAAAATGATACTAGCAGTAACCAACCACCAAACCTTGACAGCTGAAACTTTAGTTGCACCAAAAGGTACTAACTACCAACACAAATTTGTTTTATTTTATAATATATTACTATTGTTAATAGTGATTAGACAATCATATTATTTAAACAAATATGTGTAAATTTAAATTGAAATATTTAAAATAACATAAATAAAAATATGACATTTCATAACGTATGTACTTATTTTTGTTGTAAATGTATAATGAGTCAACCCAACTACGGCTACCTAACGGTTAAATGGTTACACACAAGAGTTTATGTATGTATAATATTTGTATGGAGTTTTAAATTTGGGTACCAAACATAATTAGCATCATGTTAGTTTGTCAGGTAAAAGTTCAATTTTATTTCCTAATAATAAAACATAAACTAGATATTTGGAAGAAAGCATCATCACACCCATAAAAGAAAATGATAATTAATCAACGGTTTTTCCTCTTTTTTAGGACAGGTCAGGAATGCAGGTTGGGCCTAGGTATTGGTCGGTTCAGGGTCGATGATTTTTAATCCAGCGACCCGTCGGACCCGACCCAACCCGAAATTTGACCATGTCTACTAACGGTTGTGTTTAAAGTTTAGACATTTTTCTCACTTTTAATTTTTATTATTATTTTGGTCCTTGTTTCAGTTTTACGTGTCTTTCTTTTCGTTTTCCGTGCGTTTAGTTTTCATAATTTCTCAATAACAGGATAGATTATTTTTTTAATAATATATGAATGATGTGGCATTCTCAAAATTAGTATAACTTTGATTAAGAGTATATGCTATTAAACTATATATGATGATGATGATATGATGTTTGTTCGAAAAATTGTAACACGAAAAAGATTTGTGAAATATTTCTCAAGATATCCAAGTATTCACGTATATGATGTAGTAATACGATACCCGTGTATTATACGGGCACTTAAATTTATTAATATTTATACAATAAAAAAATTAAAATAATTTATTTTTTATTATAAAATTATGTATAATGAATTTATAAAAATAATGAATAACTAACAAGTTAGTAATTAATTTAAAATGGGGCCTGTATTTTTGTTCTTAATTTTCTTATTTTATTTAAAATTTATAAAAAAACGCATTAAAATGATTATTTTATGGTATATTATTGAATTAGATTTTTATTATATTTATTATAAAACAATTTATGTCGTATTTATATTTTTGAAATTATTTTTTTAATAAATTTAGTTTTATTTATAATGAAAGATGTAATTATTTTTTATTTTATATATGCAATATGGATGTCAAATCGAAGATCGTCAAAGTATGATTATTTTGAGATATAATATACACAAAATTAAAAAATATAAAGATTTAAAAATAAAAAGAATACATACTTATAACAATTATTATATGAATTAAATAAGAAAAATAATGAAAGAGAGATATATGTATGAAAGTCAATAAATTTATGGTAATGAGAGAGAGATTTATGGGACACAATAATGTAAGATGAAATAATTATTTATGGTTGATTCCAAGCCAATTTTGTTTTCAAAATTTTTATCTGAACATAAATACAAAGCATGATAGTTTGACACGTATGATTTCAAAGCAAGCGAGTCCGCCATTTTGGCTCAACACATTTGAATTAATATATAGGGGGAATTTCTCAACTTAGGGAATTCGAGTTATTTTTTACTTGAGAAAGAAATTATTATTCACTTATAAATATGAGACGCAAGTTAACAATTATAAAATATGTGAATTAATGGTTAGATGAACTCACATCAAATTTAATTTGTGACAATGAGGGGGGTTAATGATGAGTGATGACAGTATATTTTTGTTAAATCATTTTTGTCCTCAATTGACATCATTAAGCAAAATCCACGACTTTTCTGTGAATATTCCCGGAGAATACGGCCGACAAATAGTCCAATTAGAGTTTGAGACCCAAAAGTAAACTAAAAAATATTTATTTATTTAATTTTACCATTTTATCGGGGACATGAATCATTGAATATATCTTCGATTAGAACATTTGTTAAAACCAGTCAAAAATAATTATGACCGTGAATCAAATTATTTTTAATGATGACTGCTCAAAGTAAATGTCTCAGTCTTATATAATTCGAAGTGTAAAATGTGTTGAAAAGAGTAAAAGACATCTTTGAAAAATTGCTTATATCAACCAAAATATATTGAAAATTGAAATAAATACATAAATAAATATGGACTCTCTTTCAGATGATCACGAAAAATAGTTGCCTACAATCGTTAGACGAGTCGATTAGTTCTACCATTTTTTTAAAATAAAAATATATTTTTATGTTTTTAAATTTCATATTTTTGTTTTATGTTATTTTTATATATAGTATGACACCTTAATTTAAAAGTAAGTATATCTGTTGAGAAAATATAATCACCTAAAACCGGAATGTATTTATTTAAGAATTGTTTAAAACAGAGACCAAATGCATGTACATAACTTATCAAAGGATCTAGCTTGATTTGATTCAAAATCTGTTAATTCACGAATCAAGTATGCAAAGAGAAAATATATATTTTATTACAGTAATATAGAAGCACATGTTGTATTTTTTGAACCGTTTAAAAGTAATAACGAATTAATTTAAATAAAACAAAAACAGGACTAAAATATAAGTCAAAAGCGTATCATATCCAGAAAGTTTTCTGGATTAATTAATGGTACGTGCGTTTCAATCGATTTTCTAACAAAATTAAACCTTTTTTTGAACATGGTTATATCATAAGAAACCAAAGTAAATCTTGATCATCATATATGTACATGAACATAATTTAATTTTAATTCTTGGTAATAATTAACAAATACATGTATGATGATGTAGCAATATATTGCTACATANTTTAACATGTAATTAATTTAAGCAAACACGCGGTTAATATATTTAAATTTCCCTATATTTACATTTAGATCCAACAATTCAAATTAAAATTGAGAAAAATACATGAAAGAAATTTATGTAAAAATTAGAACAGAATAGTTCTGTCACGCATGCATGTATCCAGGAACATTATATCTGCATCTATACACATTCATGATTTATGTCCCATTTATGAGTTATTTATCCTCATATAAAATGAACTATAATTCATTTATTTATCAAATAGTCACATGAGCGTATTGGAAGGTCCAAGACATGAAGAAAGCTCCATTTTCATATATTATAATATTTTACCAGAAACAGTCAAGCAATTCAAATATTCCTCACCCTCAAAGCCATGGGCAAAATTGATTTATTTATTTAAGATGTTTGGACGACTGTGGGTTGTGAACTATTTGCTAGATAAGTTGAAATATTCAAACATATATTTTTGTCATAGTTAAATTTTACCTTAATTAAGAACAAATTAAATCCTACTTTTTTAGCATATTATTTAACTATGGAATTGCAATAATTTATGACTAATCTGCTAGTTCAACTGTTAGACAATCAAATTTTTCATCAGATATGCATATTTTTAAACTGACAGTCATATCATAACTATATATATTTTTATTAATATTTGGCGTGTAGACTCGTTTAAATGTGTGATCATTGTACGTTTGCATCTGCAGTAAAAAAAAAATGGTGTAAAAAGATATAATTTATTTTTAGAGTAAAATAGATGCTCGCTCTCAATAACCCATTTTTTGAAAAATTATACATCCACAGTTTATCAATAGTTTGGTCCAACTTTTCTTCCTCAATACAATTTCTATATTCACACATAATCAAAGTAATTAATATGTAAATTCCCTAAAGAAACTCAACGTGTGTTGGACCTATAAATTTGACACCCTAACTAACAAGATAAAAGAAGCACAAAAAAAAAAAAAAAATCTATTGTACCCATCAATCAAATCTTCACAATTTCCTATTTTCTTTAATCACCATGCAATCTTTAGTAGCTACCAAATTCTTGCAACGCCAAATCCTCACTCACAACAAGAACAAGAACAAAAGTAGCCAAATATTCGAAAACATCGTAATAAAAAAACCTAATTCGTGCGACGTTTTCATCAACCATCGAGGAACTGACACGAAACGGTCCTTCGCCTCATTGCTTTACGACCATCTTTTTCATCTCAAGATTCGCCCGTTTTTGGACAACAAGACTATGAAACCGGGCGACAAGTTGTTCGAAAAAATCGACACCGCAATTAAGGGTTGCAAAATCGGCGTAGCCATTTTCTCCCCACGTTATTGCGAGTCGTACTTTTGCCTTCACGAGCTCGCCCTCATGACCGAGTTGAGGAAGAAAGTGATCCCGGTTTTTTGCGACGTTAAGCCGGCCGAGCTTAGGGTTTTGGATAATGGGAAAATGAGTAAGGAAGAGTTTGAAAGGTTTAGTTTGGCCTTGGAGGAGGCTAAGTACACCATGGGGCTTGTGTTTAACTCTCAACAAGGGTAAAGATCATATATTATTATTAGATTAATAGTTTTTTGAGTACCTTTGTTTTTTTCACACTTTTTTTCTCTCTTTCTTTTTTGATAAATGGACTAATAATATAGATGAATTTAAGAACCTTAATTTATTCAAACTATGAGAAGCCAAAAAGCTGGTTCGTTTCGACCTAATCGTTAAGTAGGTCGACATATTATATTTATATTATACTGTGTGAAAAGAAATGTATATGTATACTATCAAATATCATACCAGTATATATTATTTCTTTGCATATGATACTTTCTAATTAATAAGTATATGTATATAATGAAAAAAATATGTTATTCTAATGATCCGGTCGACTTAATAGAAGAACTATCTAAGTACGCATTCTTCCAATTCATTCAAAAATGAGAAAAGAAAACCAAAGAATATCAATTGCATGGATGAAAATTGAGTGTATTTGTGTACAAATAAGTTAATTTGCAAGAAATGAACTTGCATAGACAATATA